GCAGCCGGGGGCTCGCGTGGTGCCTCGTCTCCGGCTGAACCCCCTGGAAGACACACAGGCCGTTACGGGTCGGACGGAGCACGGCAAACAAGATTATGCTTTTTCTCGATAGCGGGTGCTCTCCCGCTTCTGAATCTGTAAAGGCTGTATTCTGGAGGCTTCAAACTGCTCATTTTTCCAGATGGTTTCTGTCTGAAATTGTTATAAGCTAGAAAGCATAACTTCAGATAAACATAGGACTATAGCTGAAAATATGTTTCCCACATACTGCTCCATCTTTAAACAAATGAATAGCAAGCAGCTGATCTTAACTGATTCAAAAAACAGAAATGTAGGCGTTTGGAGAAGGGTCTACACCACACAGGGTACATGCACAGGATGTTAGTGGGGTAGTTTGTAGAGACTGTAGGAATCTGTTTTCTGGATTTCTGTAAAAAGCGTGAAGCACAGCGGCCACATCAGTCAATAAACCGTGACCAACTTCAAATGTGGCTGTGCTTGTACCTATTTTTAGGCCTCTGCTGAACAAAAACAGATCCGCATTGCAGCTCAGCATGTAGCATCATGGGGGGCAGGAGACAGAGCTTTTTCACTTCCCTTTGAAATCACAATTACACCAACCCAGCGGCACGATGCAACACGCCTGAAGCTTGGTGCACCCCAAAACTACATTTTTCCTGGTCTTGCAGAAGCAGCGAGGCAGGCAGGGACCCGCGGGCGCTGTGAGGACCCCAGGACGCTCAGCCTCTGCCCCCTCTCCTGCTGCCAGCCGTCCAGGACAGACATCAAGCACACAGGGAGCTCTCTCTTGTGGCTGCTGCCAATATGATAAAGCACCAATTATCAGGGACAAAGACCTCAGCTTTGGTACCAGTATTTTATCCCCAGCTTGATTCTAGAAGAGGGAGTGATGAAAACCTCCGTGCCCTGTCTGTGAGTACTTTAAATACTAGCTATTCTGCATTACAGAGTAACAAAGTGTAATCAGACAGCGGCATAATACACTGCCTATGGCGTTTCCACAGAAACAGGTTTAAATAGAAACTCCCACTCCTCCTGCCCTCTCTCTCGTCAACTTGTGAGCTACTTACAGTGGATCTGGCAAAGACAGGATTCTCAGTGGCTTCCACTATTACTTGATGGACCGGTGCCCCCGAGCCTTGCACAGCCTCATAGTGGTGGAGCTCCTCGCTGATGCCCGACACCGTGGTTTGGGAGCTGTACTCCGAGTCGGAGGAATCGGAGCCATTGTTGGAGCGCCCGCGCGGCAGCGCGAACCTCACCACGCTGGGGGGCGGCTCGGGGGACGGCGTGGGCAGCCGGCTCCGGCCGTCGGCAGCACAAACCTGGCAGGCGCAATCACAGGCGTTAGCATCCAGCAGCGTCCTGCGACAGCCGTGCTCCACACAAGTATTCACCTGCCACACGCTCTTCTGAGCCATGAGGAATTTAGCACTGTTACTCTGATCGAGATTTGCATTACACCGAAAAACGTGTGCAAGAAAGACAGACATGACGTCTGTGTGCGGAGGTCTGTACGAACAGGCTTACACAGGCTCCTCTAGGCATCACTGTCTCAGCAAGCCCATGTATGTGTGTGCACGTATGCACTCATGCTTAAAAACATACAGGGGCTTGCCTCCCTCCATTCAACCATCACTCATTAAGAGTGATTCATAAACCATTTCAAATGCGCACATACGATTTGTCTCAGCGTCTATCTGCAAAGACAGATGGATCTGCACATAACTGCAACATGCATATTCAAAGAAAGTACTTATTAATAAGCAAAAAACATACACTGTTTGAAACTAAAGAGATAACACACTGTTGCCAAAACTATGTAATTAATGCTGAAAAGAAACAAAATAATTATCTCAAATATTAGCAGCACTGTAAACGTACCATGTTTAATTCTTATATACACACACATATGGCCACAGGCAGCATCCCGTTACTACCTTCTAATAAAGCAGAATAAAGCTATCCCCACGTAACACAGTAACTGTATTAACTTTAGGGCAGATTACGAACATCAAGAACACATTTGACGGCTATGAACCCTTTTTGCTGGACTTGGTCTCAACAGCCGTGTGGAGCTTTGCAGCCGTGTGCAGGCGGCACCCCGGGGAGGGCTGCGCACGGGGAGCGCGGGGCCCTCCTGCGGCCCCGTTACCCAGGTGTGGTCTGGGGCCCCCTCTGGTGCATGTTGGTCCACACGGGCCTCCCTGGTGGTCTGACGAGTCAAATATTTTGAGGAAATCAATAGGGGCAGGGGGGGTAGGAAAGGAGAAGGTGTGGGTACAAAAGGCACGGTCTTTGCAGAATGTTGTGGAAAAGTCTGGTTTTACAGACTAGTTTGCATATCATGTTCTTCTTTTAAAAGCTTACCTAATCCTCATTTTTGTCTAGCTCGTCAGCAGCAGTCTTTACTCTCTACTCTACTTACTAAAAACACACTTTAATCAATAAAAGAGTATCACATACATTAAAAAAAAATCTAATATGGCAAAGATTTAAAATAAAATCAGACCAAGAAACTTAAATAATAACAATAAAAAAAATCAGAACTAAAAATAAACTTTAAAAAAAGGATTGGGACCGGGAGGGGTGAGAATATTATTTCTTCTATTCATCATTAGCTGTACTGACCTCAGGGTATGGTCCAAAGAGTGAGAGAAGAACAGGAAGCAGCACCAATCCATTGAGAACTCCCAAAATGGTTAAGATTGCCAAAACAGCAAAGAAATACCTGAATATGGTATAAGGGTGGAGAATAAAGAAGAGCCACAAATAATATTAGAAATAAGGGATTACCTACTATGGATAAGTATACTGGCATTAAAATAACTCGTACACAGAATTCAATCTAAATTATTACTAACACTTGTACTAAACAGTTCTATCACTTTACATATATATATATATATATAAGGGTTTTATTTTTTTTTACCTTTTTGATTAGAGAAGCTACATTCCGCAACCCAAAGTGTTAGTTGATAAAAGAAAGAAAAAAAATCACGTCTGTTAATTTTCTAGAATCTGGCAGCATGTAATGTTATTTATGAATGTGTTACACAAACACAAAAATATGGAATGTGCAGTGAATGGCTGAATGGATTGAAAGCACAAATACAATGAAAAGGGGCCCCCATTAGTGAAAACCCAGCAGAAGCAAACAAATGAAGTGAAGGGTGTAGAATTTAAACAATTTAGCCTGGAAGGAGAGAAGCCCACTTCTCTCACCAGCTAATCCACTGTGAAATGCCCCTGCATCTTACAGCAGAATCTCTAATTAAATCTCTAGTGTATCAGGTAAGGTTTTCGTTCGCTGCTCATTAATCACAACTTTCTGCCTGGAATTTCTGTGCGTTCCAGTTTTACCAAACAGCCCCGGCCGCGATGCTTTTGCGAGCCTTTCCGCACAGAAAGCGCTCCCCATTCTGTGGTGAGCCTCAGCATTGTGCCAGCCAGGAGCGCTCCACAATGGCCGAGCTGCATTGCAGGCTAATCTTTTGTTGAACAATTTAGCATCTCTGAATACTCTTGTTTTGCACCGGCCAATTCAAACATAAAGGCTGCAGGACTATGGAAGAGGAGGAGAGTGCACAAGTGGTTGTCCTTTCCCACCACCGAGGGCTAAGGTCTGGGATCCCTCATGAATACCAAGGTAAACCTGTCAGCAGAAGGAAAGCCTTGCTAGTTGGTATTCGGCACAGCTGGGGCTCAGACTAAACTTACACTGTGTTGAAACTAATGATTTTGAGGAGCGGGTCTTGGGCAAGTCCTAGCAGAGAAGGAGCAGACAAGCGGAGGGCCAGTTTGCTGCTAACGGCTCTGCTGATCACACTGTGCAGCTGGCAGCAAACTTTACTGCCTCCGTGGTGCCATATCTGATCAAATATGTCAGCCTCCTGTAAAACTACAAACATCCTGCTAGTGTAAACATTTGGGGATTTCTGATCTGCATTAGTAAAAATCAGCGAACCAATCTACTCCACTAACATAAACCACCAGAACTTTATACTGGGACAGAGACCAACAACAGGCATTAAAAACATTTGCATCTCATCCATCTAACACTAGGATAAACAGGAGGATTATAGCTCTGACCACTTCGTGTATACAATGTCTGTTAATTTACTTAATCTTCCACATTGCTGGACTAAAGGGACTTCCCTTTCCGGAAGTTTGGGGTCTTCTTCGCCCACTAAAGCAATGCTTGGGCTCTGAAAGTTTATTTTATTTTATTTTTTAAACAAGACAAACTACAGTCAGACTGTGCTGGAAAATGAGAAACTAATGGACAAAGAAAGTAAAATAACGTAAGCTGAAAAGTTGAAAGGCTCATTTTATACACTAAGAGAACATCAAATCCGAGTTTGGAGTGAAGGACTGCTACATTTCCTGTTACAAAAAAAAAGGCCTAGCCAAAATCTTGCCTGCTAAATAGGAAAGTACCACAGCGAACACACCTCAGTAAATTTGTGTTCAGTCTACAGCTGCTCTGCCAGTAACCTCCATCCCTTACAAGACCAGGTCCTAAAAGAGTAATTCCATCTTACTTCTTCAGCACTGATAAAATAAAATATACTTACCCCGCAAAAAAGACCCCACAAATTCTATTTCAGGGTACGCAAATTTAATTATTGTAGTAATTACAGCAATCATCCTCATTTAGTATGTTTAGGCCTACCTGTAAACCTCCTACTCCTTGCCTTCTGCAAATCTCTTACATACATAAACAAAAAATCCTGATGAGATTTAGCAGCCACTCTCTCAGTTCCTGCCTCTGACATTTTGTTGTTGTTGTCAAATGGAAGTCAGCTAAGTTTGGTCATCTATCCAGCTTATGTCTACCTAAGTAGTTAAGTCATTTCTCGGAGCTCTTTCTTTTTTTTTTTTTTTTGGCCCAGTTTTACCTTCAATTCCCCTTCAGAGCTTTGATTCTTTTTATTTCATTCTTCTTCCCTGCCCCCCTTTTCCCCTCCTCTTTTTTTTGTATTCCCCTCCATTTGCCACAAAGAACTTGTGTTACTAAGATTAGCCATTTTGCAGAGCTCCACAGGTTGTTTGGAATAGAATAGGATCCGTTTCATTGCACTTCTCAAATTCCTCTCAAAAGAAAAACTTGCCCTCCTCTCACACTTGACGAATTCACATTCCTAATTAAATCCACAAGAAACAGTCTGCCTGTAGTTCTAACAGAAGGGCCTTCAGGTTTTGCTTTACAAATTTTTAATACTAAGTTCTGTGTTCAAACTTACGGCTCCTTTGCTCCCCAAAAGGGCTTGTTTCCTCCCCCATTTATAAACTGTTCATTAAAAAAGCCTCATGTACATAGCAGAAGGCCCAGAGGTGTCAGCTGTGGCATGTTTGCAGCTCCATGTGGTCTTTCCATGCAAAATGCTCTGCATATAAGAAAGACCTTAAGGTTAAAGGTCAATCCAGCCAATACCGGACAATGCCAGCTGCTTCAAACTGATTTAATTCCAGATTTAGCAAACTTCACTAAAGAGGGCCACTTTTGTTTCCTTCCACATTGGGAGTCAGACTTTCCTGGAACAGATTTAGTGCCAGCAATGGAAACACTGCTAAGTCGAGCATGTAACAAGGAGTTAACAAAACAGAGGGAAAGCAGGACTATGATGTAAGCATGCTTGACACATCATGCATAGTAATAAAATGACAGATACACTGAAATGACTAAATATTAAAAACATGCTTGTTTTCATTTTAAAAACAAAAGTCAAGACACACAAATGCTTTACCTGACAATAAAATCAAACTCCGATCCTGCAAGCATCAGCACTCCAAGTAGAGTGGATACGGCTCCATCCAACACTGGTGCAAACATATGTTCCAGTGCAAGGACAGCCCGACGGTTCCTGTCTCCTATGGCTGTTAAAAATGCCTGTAAAACAATGAAATCCATTTCATTAGACAGATACATACAGCCTTTCAAACAGACTCTCTCATAGTATATACAATTTTTCACCAGTTAATTACTCCAATTTACAGTTTATTAAAGTATCCCTAAAGCTGGCTAGACTTCAAGAAAAGGCCTGATGATGCTGTGATAAAACAGAGCTGCTGCTGAAGCTGCATAACCAGAGTAATTACAGAGTCATAGTAACAACTTCACAAACGATGCCTGCTTGCATCAGGAGACTTCCCATTTGTTTCAGGTTTACTGCTTTCTACCCACGAATAATTAATTTCATTTACACTCAAAATGAAAGCACTTTGGGTTTAAAAAATATAGAGCTACTCTGGCCACTCTCATGTGGACATAGCTTCCCATGCTGCCTAAGTTTGCTGTAGAAACAGTCAATATTGATCCCGATTTCCCTCACACTTGGAGCAGATTGACTTGCAACCCTTGCTTATGTCCAGCAGCATTTATTTATGCGCCAGGTCCTTCTGTTACTTTACATGCCAGTCTCTAGAGTGCACGTCTGCTCACAAGCTTGATGATCCTGACTACTTGAACCCGTAAGCACCCAACTGAAGAAATGCTGCCAGTAAATTCAAAAGAACCTGTATAAAGTAACACCACCAGACTGTGTAGGTTTTTTTTTTTTAAGCATTTCTATTATTTCACTCAAGATGGATGTTTTTGCAACTTTTACTACATAAAAGCTAGCAGCTCTGTGCATAAATTTGCCTTAGGAACAGTGCTTAGCACAGTACTGCCTGAGGAACCACATGGCTTGCAAAACATCCGTCTCCTCGTTGCTCCTCAGTGGACACACTGTACCAACACTCTAAGGGCTGATTCTCATGAGCTTGTCTTCTCAGAGCCCAACTTACAGGTTAAGACGACAGGAACTTGGGCTGATGTTTTCCCTGTGATTTATACTTATGTGAATTCTCTAGCACCTATTAAGAAATGAGATCATGCAACTGTCTAACACTTGGTCCTGGAATTTAAGCCACTCTTCTCTGGGAGCTTAGTCTCACTGGATGAGTTTAGGCTGCAATCAACCTATGCACTAAGATGTTTTTTGGTAGAACAAGCAGACCGAAACTGGATACATAGGCAAGCAGACTGAGATTCCCAAATACCATTTCCCTAGGAAGCCAAAACACGTACTCCTACTCTTCAGTAGCGGCAAGTTAATGAATCCAGTACACGATCTACACACCATGTTCACAAATGAATAAAGAACCCCTTCAGAGTGAAGGCAGTTGTCAATGAGACAACTCATGTGAATGGGATCTGCGGCAACACGACCCAGATACACATCAGCAAGTTATATATATATATACACTGCATAAGCACATGTATATATTCGAAGAATGTACAGTACAATGAGCACACTGTTAATTCAAAAACTTATTTGCTGGAATTAATGAAAAATGAAGTCACAACTTGTAAGTGGCAGCAGAGAACTGCACGAGTGGATTGTGAATTTGTCTTGAACAAGTTCCGTTCAGTTCTGTATCAACGGTGTCAACATTGCTTACTTTGTTTCTGCAACACTGTTCTGATTACTTATAGTCAGTAAGCTACAAGAACACGCTGGTCAACTCTGTTCCTATCATCTGAGGTCTGCTACCATTTTAAAGCCTACTTCTGAAAGATTTTGACTCTGTCAACTTGAAAAATATCTGATTCTAAATTTGATGGGCCACTGAATTTAAGGTTTTTTAATACTTTTTTTAAGTAAATTAAATTGTTTCCTTCCTATTTAGAATGCAAGTATTTTTTGTTTTTTACTCCAAATTTTTGTTTGGAATCTTAACTTATAAGAAATTCTTGTGCTGCTGATCTCTGACACTACCCAAGGTATTATAAGCCTTAATAAACAGATTTACCTTCCAAAATCTAACTACAGATAGCAACAGAGGAGATTGGGCCACCACTTGAGCCATCTGGCTGCTTTTCTATAATCCTACCCTACCCTACCCTACTTTTCCTAAAATTTGTCTTTAAATTACTCTTTGTGTTCTGCCACTTGATGGGTCCCAACTGTGAACCTCGTCTGCATCATGTTCCCAATATCTGGCAGTCTACAGGGTGCTAAGATCCCCTTTAATTCTCATCTCTTTTTTTCATTGTCATCAGCTCCTCTCAGTGGTCTACAGTGTCTTCCTGTTGCGTCCAAAAACCTCATCCAATTTCTCTCCATCTTTCACCTACATTTTTAAGACCCCTCCTTTCACTTCTTTCTGGACAAACATACTAGAAATTATGGTAGGCTGCAAGCATCCCTTTCCTGAGACAGTGATGATATTTTGATTATACTCACCCTTTCCTACTTTTTAATACAGTAAAATTCAAATCCATTAAGAAAACAGTATCATTAAAATAATATTCTTCTGAAAAACAGGTTAGAAAGGCGTTATAGGAAAGACATTTACGCAGAGGGAGTAGAAAGCCTACCCTGTATAGTGTCAAGCAAGTTTTGAGACCTTGCACTGCTAAAAACATATTAAAGGAAAATGTTTTAAAATATAAGTGTCTTTTTTAATTTCTTAAAATCTCTGTTTTTTTCAGGAAATAAGTAAGAACTCCAACTTACTGTCAAAATTACTTAATTGACATTTTTCAGAAACAAACCTTTGTCTAAGCTTACTTTTAGGATACGCTATATAAGCACTTCCATTGTCAAACGTGAACACAGAAAAACAGCCCTTTACTCTGTTATTTGTCACCAAATAAAGTGGGATAGTTTTATATATCTTGAAAACCACATTGCAAGAGCAGTGTCATTATTCCATACATTTGTGCATCAAGTTAATAGAGCTGTGTGATTTAGGGCATGCCAGATTTGGACACCTCAGTCTGACAGTGATGAAAACATTTATTTAGAACATTCAAATATCCCCCGCTCCCTGCTTCTCCTCTTAACACTGGAAACTATTTCCCTAAAGATTACATATTTGAGTGCGTTATTAATGCACTGGCTTCTGGAAAGAAGAGGGAGATTGTTAAGGCAAGGAATACAAATCATGCAAATTTTGGTGGTCCAGAAGAACTAAATGACATGTGATTTCAAAAACCTCCTCAAGCTTTTTTATCAAAGGATACAAGTGGGCACAAAAAGCTACATAGCAGTGAGAGGCAACAATAGGGAGGCTGGAGATAATGATGGCAAAATCTGGACTAAAATAAAAGGCATTAAGAGCTTGGCTTTGTCTTTCCTTTCCTAGCACTGCATGCTTACATGTCTCAATCACAGCCTTCAAAAATCATCACTGAATACTAAAAATCATGAAATGTATTCCCTCCTCTTACCTCCTGGGAGGCTGACTCAACAGTTACTTCATCAGAGCAACTGTGCTCTACCAATGCAGCGCAAACGGACACTAAACTCTGCGCGCGGGTTAGGACCTGTCCCCTCCCGAGGATTATGTCACTGTCTTAGGGGTTGAAGATGGGATTTGTGATCATAACATTAGTCATCATTTCACTTTAGAATACTTTGAAAATGCTTCCAGTTTTACTTACCAAAGCAACATGAACAGTGAATTCCACACCAATGCCAACAGAAGCAATCAGGATAACCACAGGCACTGCACTCAGCTTTATTCCAATTAGACCCATCATGCCAAACAGCTCCACAGTCATCAGAGCCAGCACCACCACCTAGATGATTTCAAACATCTGTTAATGACTTCTTATACACTAGATAAATGAAGAACAACTACATGGGGCTACAAAACTTATCTTTCAAAGCTGCCTCTCTCACATCCTCAAAGAAGACATTTTTCCCTTTTTTATTGTGCTAAACAGCGATGGCTTTAAAAAGAGAGTTTAAATTGTTATCCCAATAACCAGTTAGCAGTTTACGAATCAATTTTCTGCCAGCTAAAATTTATCAATGTGATCTAAAAAATATTTCTCCTTTTCCAGGATATTCAGTGGAACATAAATTTCCTCTTTTTTACCCATGTCTCTGTCAATCCTTCTAGAAAAATTATCTTTCAAATACTGTCTAGGCATTCTTTTTTAGTACTCCAGATTAAGTGAGGATAGTTCCAGGGAGGATTTTAAAACACTGAGAAAGTGAATACTATAATCAGCTGATGAATCTCAGATTACAGAGGCCATTTCAGTTTTAAAGATACTTGAAAGGATTGACATGGACAAAACAAACAGTTTAACCTAAAGGAAAGGCTTTACTTTTCTTTCGTCTACCTTGTAAAAAAAGCAGAAAAAAAAAGAAGGAAAAGAAATTTGTGGAATCAACTTAAAAATTTCTAAAGTCAAGCAGGAAAAAAGATAGGCACCCTTGTAAAAGTTGGTTGACTCTGAAAATAAACCCCCTTTCCAAAGGAAAAAAGTATGCACTACAATAAATTATTTTATAAGCTAATGAATCAAGAATAATAACATAAATTGCTTGATTAAGTGCTATGAAAAATATTCTAGACTAAACATTTACCTTTTAACATACCTGTCGTATAAACGTACATTACAAAAACTAGTAACTGTTTCACGCTTTTTTACTTCTGGCATTTTATAAACCATATGATAGTTTATGGAATTTAAACATAGGAACATCATCATTCAATTTAACTTCAGTGTTTACGGTGAGGCTTATGGTGTCTTGCAGAAAGCACGGAGGAGTATTCTCTTCAGTTTATAACTTTATGTTTCCTTCTCCTCAATAGCCTAGTTTGAGTCTTTTCACAGTGTGTAACGACTTTAATCTTTCCAGAAAGCTCACATTCAGAAACCATACACGTTAGTCACAAGCAACTGACTTGAAAAATAACATTCTCCGATAAAAGAGGGAGGGTATAACTAAATAGAAATTGCTGTAATGTTTAATAAAGCTCCTATTTTTCCTCTGCGCCTTTATTTCTTATGTTAACGTGCTTCTGAGCAAGGGCAAAAGTTTATGCGCCTTTATAAGAAATCTTTAAAGCTACAAAAAGGTGGCCAAAGGATTAAGGTTATTAAGGTTTGTACCTTTAGCATGAACCCTACCCCCTCAAGTTGAATAAATATATAATGAATGATGCAATATACATACTCCACCAGAGGCCCAGACATTAACAAAACCTTCCCAATTGCAGCAAAAGCTATGCTGAAAGGAATTTGACTTCAACAAAGACCCTTATAATAAACTTACAATGATCCCAGCCGTCCAGGGGTTCAGGAGGAAGAGGGCACACACTAGAAACGTACAAGCCAAAACCACACTAATGGATAAGAGGAGCCAGTGACGAAGTCCAATATACTGCTCCCAAAATAGAAATGGGTAACCGTTTGGGTAGCTGGCAATCCCCAAGCTGGTGTAGTTATTACAGATAGCTCTCACTTTCTCAATAGCTTCCACGAAGTCAGAAGTTTCACGCAATCCATTGAGGTAGAAAGGAAATTGAGCATATTCTATGGGCTCCGCTGCTGGAACTAGGAAAACGGATAGCAATGTTCAAATGTGTGTTTGGGAAGAAGAAGATACACATGATTAGCAAAACACTTTGTTCTTAAGGCCACTGAATTTAAATTTTACATCTTTGAGATAGCTAATATGCCAAAAACTATTAGTACTAGACATGACTATTTTATCATGCAGTGCAAACAACAGGTCAACATATTCTATATAAGACCCTCAGAGAATCTTACAAAATTTAGCAACTAGAAATACTTCAGTATGCATACTGAAATATATATGCAGTATGCATATATAACCTTCATCTGTGCTATAAATGCTTTTTACTAAATACCTAGTTCAAAGTCCCTCTCCGTAATACATACAGGGAAATAATCGACGAATGTCAACTCTCCATGCTCCTTTTGGGGCGTAATGCTAAGATTACTGTATTTAAAAAAAAAAAAAAAGAGAAAAAAACTCCCACAACAAGCATTCTGTTGGTGTCGTTGTGTGCTCCAGACCCTGCAGGGTCATTCAGTTGACTTGCTAAATATGATTTGCCCTATTATAATCTCAACTATAAATTCTCATTAAGATAGGACTTGGCTGGCTTCCACAAAGCCCTAGGGTTCAGATAGAGTGGAGCACTACCAGCTTGCTACCCAGTCACACTTCCAAGGGCACAAGTCCTCCCGCATGTGCCCTCTCCCCTTGCCCACTGATGTCCAATTGGAAATCCTCACAATAAATCCAAAGTCGAAGAAGAGGCGCGACTGCTTGGGATGCAAGGGGGTGAATGGCACAGATGCGGGGGGAGCGCTGACAAACGCCCACTCACACGGCCTGCTCCCCCAGCTGAGTTTTGCACTCTGACAGAGGCAGGGGCTTGTAAGCAAGAGCCAACTTGATAAAGGTATCCTTGAATACTACAAATTGACGACAAATGTGATAAAGTCTCACTGATGAAACTCCAGAATGACACAGGCTGGATTTCACACCATCTCTCATACAGAACCAACAGGTCACACACAGGGAAAGGCAACATTTAACACAAGCTTTCAGAGTTTCGCTAGGCGCTATTGTAAGGCTCATTTTTCCTCACGAGGAAAGCCTGCACTGGTGCCACATTACACCATATTCCACAAGGGCTGGTGCCTCCTGAGGCTACGGAGGGAGTAACACAATATATTCTGTTTATGCCTCGCAGCCCTGTGCAGCATCAACCAACGAAGAGTTGATACCGGGCTGTAACCCAGTAACTCTAGTTGTAACTCTAGCGTTACTGGGCCTTGGAGGAAGGAGTGGGAGCACTACATAAACCACAAGACATTCAGACGAAACGTTACTTACTTCTCAGCCTTGTTTCTGGCATATAGTCTGCTTTGTCATGCACCCACTCGGGGCGGTGAGGCCGGATGTTGGCTTGGGAGGCAGCATAGGCCACAGGGTCATTGCTAACCCAGGCTGTCAGGTAGATGTAGAAGGCGTTTGGGTTAATGATCCCATCTGCGTCCACCAGACGCTGTTTCGTCAACTGCAAAACGGAAAGATGAGCAAGAAATCTTTTAGAAATGGATTTGCTTTCAGAGTGCTTGCCGCAAAGCCTGCAACAAAAAGCCGGGAGATGTGACACATGTATGCAAGGAAAAGAAAAAAGCATGAACTTCCACTTGAAACGACTGATCAGAAAACAACTGTTTAACACCGAAAAAAAGTCTAAATTAAGCCACAGTGGAAAGTGTCTGTTTATAAATAAATATTTATATAATATTTGTAATAACAACTATATCAGCAGAGGGTTCCAGAATAGACTGAACAAATTAAATCTGAATTCTCAAAGACTGTCTGCAGCCCAGAGAGAAAAACAACCAAGTTGAAGAAACATATTTAAAGAAAGAGGAAAAAAAAAAAAAACCTGGCATGAGTCCCTATACACGTCTGTGTGCAGTTAACCTCTGTTGTTAACACTGAAGGAAATGCCACCCAGTAAATGGAGGAGAGCTATAAAAATAAAACAACATCTGTATAAATTTTGCTAACACTTGCCTCCTATGACCTACGCATTCAGAAAATGCCCAGCGCCAAGAAAGCCGCCGCGCGCGGGGCGCTCCCCGGGTCACCGTGGGCAAGCGCGTCCGTGGGGCGGCGCGCGGCCCGCGCCCTGCGGCCACAGCCCCACACAGCACTCCCTGTGTGACGAGTGTTACCGGTTGGGTTTGTTTTGTTTAGTTAAAACCCTGGCTTGGCTCCAGCTCCAGGTCTTTTCAATGAAATGAAAAACAACAGTGACAGCAGTTAAGAGGGAAAAAAAAAAAAAAAAAAAGCTGGATTCCAAGGATCTGGATTCAATTAATCCACAGGATATGCAACAACTGTATGTCTTCAAGCTGTCTTTGGAATTGCCTACTAGAGCACTGAGCCCCTGTGGCTGCACCACACTTTTCCCCCTCCCAGGCACAGGAAATTGTATCAGTAGCTGTAGCCCAATCGCATTTGTTTCAGATGGTACCTGGTACGTGTTGCTGAACAAAACCTCACTGAACGTTTTTTGCTTTGCCTCCCTTCTTTCGCTTAATTCATAGCTGAAGCTTCATTCAGACCTGACAGCATGCTGCATGCTGCCACAGAGCAGTGTGTTTTATACACCATAGTAACTTTGAACAATGTTCCCCCTAAATCTGTCACCTTTAATGCCAGCAAAATAAGAAAGACAATAAGCAGATCTACCAAGAAGCTCATTAGAGAGACTATTTTCTGCCTAAAAGCACAGAAAGTCAGTGTTAGTGGAGATGAAGCTAGATTATTGCAGAATTTTTCTTTGAGGTTTAAAAACTAATTCCGGCATAAGAAGTCAAAAACTGTGCGCAACACTTTCCAATATGATAATAAAAAGCAGCGAATACAGTCATGTCATATGATGTGATAAACTTATAAAAGAAGCTCAGGAGTAATTTCTTTAGGCAGCTCAACCAACTGCCATTCTCTATTCTTCTACATTTCCGTATTTAGTAATGACTACATGCTTTGTAATATTATTATTACTTCAACCCTCTTCCATTCACCGTTACTCATAAACACCTTTCTTAAATATGCGTGTTTGGAATAAATTGATAGGGACTAACTAAAGCATTACAAAAGCCAAATTCAAAGTCACAGTAGAAGGCCAAGCTCAGGTGAGCCCCATAAGCAAATCTACTTCAAATCAGGAATGAAGGCAGTTAGGGCAGCAAGGCTAACACGGGCTACGTGTTGGCACAGGACCAGAGGAGCA